GTGATGTAACGTTTAAGGCGCACGTGAAACTCGTTGAATGTGCAGTTGCATGCAAATATTCTACATACGTACATACACGGTCGTATACGAGGCTAATGGGCAGCACGAAAAGGAAATAATTTATAAAAATATTTTCAACCCTTTCAAAATCTACACAGTATGCATGTATGCATGTATGTATGTACCTCTGGTAGTCCGGTTACGAAGGTTGGGTAGCCTGAATAGAATATTTTAGATTTTGAAATTCGGTACCCAGAACGTTCATCCATAGGTCATGTATACATATGTTATATACTACATATGCATACATTTAAATACATATCCTTTGTCACGGCGAATCTAGATTAAAATTCGTTCGCAATTTCCAATTGCTCTTGTACTATCTTCCCGACTAAGGAGTCCCTCCGAATGCCAAGAGAAGAAGGGAAGAAAAGTAGCCGCCCCTGTAATCACGAGGAAATCAGGGTGGAAGCGAAGCTCTTGACGTAATTACTAAGCGCTTAAGGGATACGAACAAAAAGTTTGAGAACGTCCAACGACCGTTATATTTTTTCATTGAAATTTTGTACGAACGTTTTTCCAGTTCTATTATTTTTCTCTATTCTTTTGCATTAAAATTCTATCGATGTCATTTGAAATAATTTTCATCTGCGAAAGGATTTTAAATATTAATAGTATGCCCATTCGATGCACAATAAAAAAATATCGAATGGTCGTCACGTCATATTTCAAAAATCGTTCACCGTTTCGCCCCAAATACGTACAATCTGTATATAGTATATATTTCGCAAGCATTTTCAACAGTCCGTTTGTTCTTTTCGATGTGCACGTCAAGAGACGTAAATTCGGATCGTCAAAGTGACGTCGGTTCGTATTGCAACGCCGTGAATCGTGCAACACGCCGTGCTTGTCGGCTGGTGGAAAACCGAAACACGAAAGACAGAAAGTTAGGAATCCACTGAGCCAGAATAGCAGTCAGCTAGGACATGAATATTTCATCAAGCTCCAGGCCCCTTTTCCTTTCTCATATTTTCCTTTAGTGGATCCGTCTTGTCTTTCTCTTACTCTCTTTTCTCTAAACATCCAAAAAGACTTGTCAATCTGTCCACACTCATTGTTTCCCCTGCTCGTAAAGCACGAAAGTTTCATCGACATCAATAAGACGTCACACGTGGACGTTGATATTACAGGTCCCATAAACGTCCCATGGACATCCAACAAATCCTTCTGAAACTACTATGCTGTATATTTACTGCGTTACTGAATACAGTCCGTATTAATATTTCTTCATCCCCTTTGTCAGCATCCCCTTCGACTGACGCATTTCTCTTTCAGAACGTATAACCAGCTTAGTACAATCTTTGAAAGATTGAAAAGAAATTTGCTTGACGTCTCAAACAATTTTACATTAATTCTTCTGTCTTTAAACAGTCATAGAACGAATTTGAATAATGATTGTAAATCACATCCAGATATTTATATAAATCGTGCATAACCTATTACATAGTACAGGCACGAGGTTGGCTGCTGTCCTGCACGAATATAAAATGAATAAAAGTTTAATTTTATAAAGAGTATTTGCGCAGTGAGCTGCGCATCAAGGACTTGGGAATTTCATCCTTTTTATAGTACAAACTTGACCCTAATTGTATTGCATTGTAACGTCTCACTCGTTATCTCGTATTGTCTAGCCAGAATTGGCCTTTGGTCCTTTTAGCATCAATTTACATCAAGTCCAATTTCGCCCGCCTTAGAGTGCTCTTCCGGCAGTGAATGTCATTCATAAAATAAATTAAATTGCTATTGTTTAACGACAGGGACTAAGCCTGACCAGTGAAGATCTTCCTCGAAAAAACTCCACGTGTACCTAAACCGTGAAATTTTACATAAATTTGGACAAGTCGAATTTTTTATTCTTTCCCATACAAAACGTCATCCAGAAATGCACACGGGGATGCACTTTGCCATTCGTGTCTCTTTCTATTTCACGTAGCCTTGTTTATCATCCATTTTACAACCGGGTAGCAAATGCTTCGTCGCACTTCGTACATCCTGTCCCGAGGGTTTGGATACAGCGGAAAGGTCCTAATAGCGCTTTTATGTTCTGCGTCCAGAAGCGTAAATGAGATCGTAAAAGTGGCCGATGTCATCCTTAAACGATTAATATCCCGTGGACGTAGCACGTTAAACCGTCGAGCGTTAAACCGGTAATGGCGATATTATTATAAGGTACGTATTGCTGTACGTTCCGGGTGGATCGATAGCCCAAAGTACCTCGAAATTTCTCGATAGTATGAAAATCAAATATTTTTATATTTTTTTATTGCAAATTTTTAATCAACCGTCACAGTTTATAATTTTCTTTCGACAAGGATTCGAGTCACTTTTTTTCTAGAGCTATCTGCTGCCACGCTATTCTTAGCGTCACCGTGTTCTCGCGCTCTTATCTTTTATTTCTTTCCCTACTACCCTTGTCCCCCTTTTCCTCAATAGCAGACCGTTTATACGTGGTTACCGAGACCGTAATCGTTGCGAAGCATGCAAAGTCCTTATTTCCAATGGTTTTGGCTGTGACTCCAGCACAACCGAGAATTGCGCTATCGAGAAAGTTCACGGTTATTAAGTATGCACGATTCACGGTGCATTACACGCGTCTTCCATCTCTCTTAGTATTTTCATAATTTTCCTCGTTATCGGACGACTTAAAAAATGGCGGTAGGTGGTATGTAGGTAGAAAAAAAAATTTCTCACATATATTCGTGTTTCTGTTTTTAGTTACATACCATGAATCAGGCTTAGGTACTGCACCTTACATATTACACGTTTTTAGGCACTTTCGAAAATAATACTACTTACTTATGCTGGAGATATCATAGATTTCGTACACGAAGACAGCATGTACTGCTATTGATAAGAATACTCGTTTACTTCGTTATATGCTCGTGGCTGTCGATTAGGCTTATTTTCCTTTTTTTTTTTCTATCGTGCAATTACCTCGTACTTACTTCAATCCCCCTTCATTCTTTTTTTTTTTTTTTTTTTTTTTTTTTTTTTTTTTTTTTTTTTTTTTTTTTTGGTATTTAATCGTTTCCTCACGCGCGATACAGTTCCTCGATAAGTTCTTAAAATTACACACGTAAGGAAAACATTTAAGCGTATTCAACAAATTTGATATTTTTCAATGGCCACTAATGTATTAGGCAAGGAAGCCAATAAAGTAATTCGGAGGAAGAGTAACTTAGTTTTTTTTTCTTTTTTTTTTTTAGTAATTTTTTTCAATCATCAACTTTGCCTGATATCCATCACAAAGCGAATATGAATTATTTATTGGCTTCCGTTGATACTTTTGCAGTATATAAAAGCGTCGCGTCGTTTAAGTATAAACATGCTTTTTATAAATGCAGAAGCTCCGTGTGTTTCCCTAGGCAATTTATACAGGCTAAGTATGTATCTAATATTCAGGCGTAACGTAAAATTCATGAAATTATACGAAATGTGATTAATAATTTTAAGATAGTATCTTATCGTGGGCTTAGTCTGCGCTTCGCTCCCACGAGTTAATATTAATTAAGTCAGAGTTACTTAGCAAATTTTTAAGTCCAATAATACTTGACTCGTGAATCATTGAAATATTTTTCATATTTTAACATAGCGACTTGCTTCAACGATGAAACAATTTCATTTTCATTTCCTACGACAAATTCGTACGCACGGTCACGTATCTACATTATAGATCATTGAATGATATAAAATATTAATAAGAAATTTTTGCGTCGGATTAAAAATTGGAATAATTCCATTCTTAACGGATCTCAGTCAAACGCTTGTGCTATGTCAGAAAGCTTGCATAATAATTTATATAAATCCTCAATAATCCAATTGCATTAGATTTTTACATATGGACAAGAAATGCTTAATTTCTGTGTGACGAATCTTAGAAGGATATTAGGAAAGTCTGGACCTCGATTTCTCTTGAATAACGTCTTATGGATAATTAATAAACAAATTATGGCAATCTCAACGAACTCTACGCGTAGATCAATCTTGTATCTATGTAATATTTTTAATTATGCTGATTACGAGAAACATGGTGATCTGAATCAAACGTATCACTGATCTGACCGTAATGAAATTGCTATACCAGTTTTGTACTTCAAGGGACTACTTTGTTCGTTGAGCCATAAGTAGATGGCCCCTCAAAGTTGAACTGATCTCCTGATCCCGATCGTAGATACTAATTACTAAAGTACGGATACATACATCAAATACGTAGAACACAATCATGTTTTTCGTCGTTTCATCGTGAACGGTTTTGAGTGAAAAATTTTTTAATTTTTTTGTAAAAATTTCATCGATCCCTTAATGGCGTATTTAACCGGTGGAAGATTATAAGGTATGGACGATCTATCACAGAAATCGATCATGTCATAGAGGTTTGGACAGAAGTTATTTCTTTGGTTACTAATTTAGATTGTGGTTTACGCTTAGCTTAAACCCTCTCCTTCGTTTTAGCATTCTGGTTAAACGTTTTCGTAATAACGCTATCCTGTAACACGATCATAGATCAGAAATTGGATGAAGAATATATAATGCAAATAGACATGTGTATAATGGCTGTTAATAAAATCGAACCTGGGCAACGTAATTTGCCATGTAAACATTGGGCGGATGAACTTTTCTTACAATCGGATCGCAAAGCTCTATGTAATCACACGTTGCTTAGGTAATAATTATACATGAAAAGATAAGTACAGGCGCTGTTAGCAATACGTAGATGGCATAATTAGTAAAATATCGGAGCAATACTCGTAAATATTATATTTAAAAATAAAGAAGAAGTATTTCGCGTGATTCTTATACAGGATAGACTTTCTTGTTCCTGACGTTTATTCGGGAAGTAATTATCTATCTCTGTTGAAGATGGATCGTACGACGTTTCTCGTCGAATGTTTATCAAGTTCCACTTTTATGGAGCGTTGAATTTTTTTTCTTGTTTTCGTTCATTCGAGCAACCCACTTCTATCGTAACTCACAGATCTGAAGGCATCCTCTACCAAGTCAGTTAAGCATCTGACAGCTTGCAGTAAAGCTGCCAATAACAGAGATAAGGATAACGAGATTAATTTACTTGGTACCAGTGCATTTTCCGTGGATTGCGTTCTGTTCGCGAGTTTCTTCCTTTTGCGTTTTTCGTAACTGTTTGGTTTGAAGGGTTTGCTCGTTGGCGAATCCTTGTCCTTTTCGTTGATCGTGTCTACGGAAGTCTTGCGAATCTTTGGAGACTTTTCCAAAGAGTTTGAACGATTTTCCGGTGTCTCCTTTGAATTTCTCAGAGAGACCTTTGTACCCTCGAGATTAGGAATGGCGGAACGTCGACTTGATATTATATTTTCAATTTTTTTCCGAAATTCCTCAGCCTTGGCTTCGACTTCTGCCAAACGATAATCCCTGGATCGTCTCCTGGTGTGTCTTGACGATTTAGATTTTTTGACAACCGAAGATTCATTGTCGTATTGCTCCAGTGCGTCCTCTGACTTGGCTTTGGAGTTAATTTCCAAATAATATTCCTTGCTGTCGGAGAACAAATTCTCAAGTGAAGTTTTACGCGGATCACCGAAATCGGTAGAATTTTGAAAAATTGAATTTTCATCCAGCGAATTCGTTCTGCTGTGACATTTTTTCCTATCCGATAGTCCCTTCTCGTCCACCTCATTGTTCAGATTATAATTAATATCATCAAAGCTAGTGTCAGCATTTGGATCATTTGTAAAATCGCTATAGTCAAAGGAAGAGGCTTTAATGTTTTCCTTAGTTCTATCGAAGCTGCTCTTGACTGGTGTCTTGCTCAAGCTATTCGGAATGAAATGAACGTTTTTGTCTGCGTTCGCATAAAAAATAGAGTTCATCACGCTTGAAACATTAGCAGAATTTTCAGCGTGATCGCTCAGCGACTTATCATCCGTGAACTGAAGTAGATTTTCATCATTGGTAAAAGTTTCGCGATCAGAGTCTGGGGAATCTTCCTTAGACCTGATATACATAAGATTTTCAGTCCGATCATCGATATTCAAAGAGAAGAGTTTGCCTCTCTTCGCAGATTCAATATTCTCCGTGCACAAAAGATCCTGGACCTCGAAGAGACTCTTCTCGATACTCGGACTTTTATACAGTAAATTTTTCAATTCAGGTATATCCAAATCCTGCACGTGCAGAAGATTCTGCTCTATATTCATAAGACTCTCCTCGATCTGTATAAGACACTCTTCAATGTCACACGTGGTACTGGTCTCTTCGGTGCTACGCGAACTGTGACTGGTCTCGCTTCTCGTAGGGCTGATCACGTCTGTACTCTTCATCTGAGCTCTGATCAAACTTTGGAAACGTTCGTACTCTTCCGCCTCGATCAAAGACTTTCTCGTGAAGTTTCCTCTGCCATCGTCACCAACTTCGTACTGGGTCTGACTATTATAGAATATCTGATAGTTACTGTGGCTATTAGCTATTTCATAATTCATCTCTCCAGACGGTATCAAGTTCTCTTGCGAATTATTCTTCATTTCCCCAGTCCTGTCGCTGCTCTCGGACAAAATTCTATAGATCCCATGACTATTGGCTAAGGAATGCGAGGAGTCGTTTTCGTAGGAAGTTTTGCAGTTTCTTTCGGAAGTATCGGAGAAGACGTCGTAGTTGCTGTGACTGTTTGAATCTTGAAAAGTATTTCTATGGCTATTTGCTATAGAGTACGGTACGTTAACGTTTCTCGACAAGGAATCGAAGCTCCTGGTACCGTCGCCGAGAATATTATAATTACTGTGACTATTGGCGTCGGGGTAAGGCGTTTTCTTAGGCGTCGTATCGGCGCTCTGACCGTCACCGATCAATATATAATTTCCATCGAGGATACGCTCGTCGTCGCTGTCCAGGTCGAGTAGATTGGCCCCGACTTCCTGCTTGCGGAAATAATCCGTCTCTCTGATAGAGATATTACCACCGGCAGGATCCACGTGTATCTGCACGGGGCAGAGCACGTCGGTCAGGTCAGTCTTTTCCGGTTGAACAGCGTCGACGGTGTCATCGAGGAAGTCAAAGTCGCGTACCCTGTAGCTGGGGCATGGCGTGTTGACTGGCGAATGCGAGAGGAGGTTGACGTAGCCGCCGCCTCTGTTGATGGCCGATCAAGTAATCGTAGGTGGCGTTTGAATCTGGATGACGGAATGCTGACTTTCGTTCAGGATCTCGTTGCTGGACGTTAAACGTCCAGATTTGTAAATGACCTTAAAAAGGAAAATTGAATAATTATTTTATGTAAAAATACTAGAAGAGAAAGTCCACCAGATTGCACCTGGTTAGACAGTTTCAGGACGGACCGTAATTTACTACTTCATATAATTTATCATTAAATAATTATAGTCCCTAAGAAAATATGATTAGTGTGTAGATGTGCCAGCATGATATGTTTTACACAGAGCAGTTGAGCATTTTTTTTTTTCATAAATTTTATCTCCTTGGTGGGTGCGCAGTTGACGCAGAACTTTAACCATTATTTTTTTTTGGTGTTTTACAGCCGACGATAAATAGTGAAAACCATATCCGGTGGCCTTACTACGGTAATATATGATTTACTGTACTGGTAAATAAAAAGTTTTATTGCTACTTTTATTTAATTTCTTTTTATCAGGTTTGTCAACGAAACTAGATATTATTGTAGAGACGTAACAAGATATTTTAATTGAAATTTTGCACGTATTGTTTACACGGACCCATTCGATTCTCCGTTATCAGTAAGAACAAGCAAACTTTCATTATGGAAACTGTATCGGTTTCTCTGGTTGTTTAGAAATCAATTATCTCGGAAGCTGCGTGACCCGCGGCAATGGGCTAAATAAAATAGAGACCCTGAGCTGCTTGGGTCCATTAGTCCGTAACTGGAGTACCTACAGTTATTACTTTGACTGTTTCTATGTAATCTTGATTTAAACTTGTATATAAGCGTTCTTATCTGATAATTCATGTATTTCTATTGACATTAGCTTTGCGACGTGTACGGCATCACGTAATTTTAATACGATTCTAATTATAAATTTTATACAGTTTTTCGTAGCCGCTCTCTCACCTTTGGATGCTTCAATTCAATCTCTCTGAACTCATCGGTGAACGTGAGTATGTAGACGCAAAAAGCCACAGCACATATCCACTCGGTCACAGTACTCACTACGTGCAGTTCCCAGCCGCCGTCCTCTTTGTACCACTTTCTAGGATTTGTACCTGCGTGGAAAATAGGTGTTATTCGTAGGGAATGAATTTTCAACTGATTCTTAAGAAATATGTTTAATATTTAGTAAATATAAGTGCGATTGATGATGTTGATTATTTTTAATTAATTATTGTATAATTAATAATTTACCATTATAGGCCATGTGAGCCAACATTCCTGTGATAAGAATGATAAAGAAGCACACCGTGCAAAATATGGAGAGTGCTAAGCGCAAGTGAGCAATTCTTATGGAGCATCCAAGTGGATGCAAGTAATAAGAGCACATAGCCTGAAAGAAAGAAAAAATTGTGAATATCTTTTTCTAAGTGAATCTGTAGATCTGCTTTTATCAGTTTTCATTTTATTTTTACAGTATCTCACCTGTGTCCAGAAGTAAGCTGTACCACCTCCGAAACACATAAATGCTCCGATCAGGTGTACCACCACAACGGAGGTTTCTTGAAAATTTGCTACTATGGATAGTCCAATGGTTGATATCATACCCATTATCAAGGCCATCCGATTCCATTTTGGTAATGATTCGTTTAATTTGTAAACACTGTTACACTCCTTGATTTGCGAGTATCTGATGTAAATCACGAAGCACACTGAAAGATGATAATACAATGTAAAGATAATTCAATTGTTAATATGAGAAAATTAATATTTCAAGAATTATTGTCGTCAAGTATTATCAGACTGTCAAGATATATTATCGACGATCGATCAGCGTTAATTCATTGATGTCTGGATCAATAACAACGATTGAAGTTCATAACAATATATCTGATAATCTCAAAAAATGATAAGAAAATCAAAACTCATGCAACGTTTGATTTTACGAATTTAAATGATTTCCTGAAACTCTCGATTTCTATTAGAATTCTACGCAGACCTTTTCCGGCCATTGGCTCCTTAATCGTTGAGGGAATATTTGAAGGAATTTTTAATACTTTCTTAAGGTCACAGTCGTAAGGTCAAGAAAAGACTTCGATCACCTCGATGGAAAACTATTGTCCACGATACTTTAAGAACTTTGAACACGCTCGGAATCGACAGTCATTAAAAGTGCAATGACTTGAACTTTAGTAAAGTATTTATTTTCTACCGAATTATTGTGCAATATTGCGTAATCATAATGACGATCTAATTAACGCTCATCTGCTGACTCCAATCCATGGCTTTCTCGTTACTATTACTGCTGGTTCAAAGACCTTGCTACTACGATGGCGTAACTGTTGACATTGATCTTGTGAATGGAATTGCTTAATACACCTTTATACTAATTCTTTATTCTTTAAGCTATTTAATTTATGCACAGAAAATATTATAGTAATAAATTTAGGAACGTATTTGCATATATGTGTTAATAGTATTACTATGTTAATTTAATGAACATGTTAACATTGAATCCTATATGACGGCAATGAATTTATTTGGCGAGTAAAACAAAATTTTTGAAAAAATTAACGAATCAATGCGAATAATAATACGTTTACAATATGCTAAAATAATCTTGGCGCATCCTTCGTCCCCAAATTGAATTCGATTAGTGCAGTCCAGTCAGGCGTTTCAAGGATAACAATAATTTGCATAGCATCGAGAAGCTCTTAGGAATCCTTAAACGTTGATGGTAGACGATTCGCGTGTTCCGCATCAGTAACGGATATTAAGTCAGTTACCATGGAAGGACTTTTGTTTTATACCGACATATTGTTATTTACGGTCCTGGGATCTGTATTACGCGTGGCCAAGAGAATATGAAATATTTTAGGCATAAAATTTCCTTTCTGGAAATTCCTTCTGGCATTTATGGGCCAATGAGAATTATAAAGGTCACGTGTTGTACAAAATGTCACATATACGCCTTGATTTTATTGACCTATCGTTTGCGCCTGTAAATATTTGTTTTGACTTACTGAGAGCTGCTGTCATATTAATAAATTGAGCGAATATGCAACTTTCCGGCGCATATGTTGCAGCATCGGAAATGTACGGGAAACCGGCCTCCACGTGCCCAAGAAGTACGGCTATGACATACCTGGAAACATAAATCATGAGTCAATTGTGGAACTCCATGTTAATACCACCTGAACAATCACAAGTGATCGTGGACAGTGTTACACGATGCGAGAATTAATACGTGGAATGACAAGGATGATTGTTGAGAAGATTATGGACATTCGTCATGAAATTATCGTTGTCAGCTATTATTAAATGTAAGTAATGAAAAATTTCGTATTATATCGATCTATAATTTTTTTAGATTTTAAACGTTGCCCATTGTTAAATCAAAAATTCTCTTATCCATGCCTATTCATTTGCTGTGTCATTGAATAAACTCGTGTATGCGCAAAAAATTTATATTGTTTTTTCTCAGTCAAAACGTTCAAGGCGAACAAGACTTTCGGATCTATTATTGTATATCGAGTTTGTCCAAAGAAACAGATTTAAATAAATTATATTATAATAAATTCATTAATAATTGTATGATTGGATTATAAACAATATTAATTAAGCGTATACGAACAATTGCATAGTTAAATCTATCGTTTATCAAAATTTAAATTCATCCTCAACAATCATTTTTATATAATTTCTATTTGAAACTGATGTCAATCGATTACACTAATTTTATTTGATATACTCGTATCTATTACTTACGTTACAATAAACGTTGTAGGCAGTGCCACGAATAGCACGATAGGCAAGTAATGCACATTTTCGAAGATCGGTTCCTTTTCCATGATCGCAGTCTCTTATGAGATCACTCGGCCTCTACGAAGACTGAAGTAACTCTGCCACAATGCGGCGAGTCAATTCACTATCAAGATCTCTCGAATAGACAGAGAAACGAACCTTGGTTCATATTCACGTTCCTCTAACCTTCAGCGGGTCGCATACGTGTGAGAACCTTTATCTTAGTGATCATACCAAGGTTTGTTCTTTCATCAATGAGCACTCTGGAGGCCTAGAAACAAAATATCCCCACGTCACTTATAAATTATCACACAAAATAAGAAATATTTGATACGAATATTGGATTGCGATTTTTATAAAAAAAATTACCAGTTTTTAATTTTACACTTGATTTTCTGTATTATTAAAAAGTTTTTTTGTCATATATTTTTTTGGTATCTCATATCAGCACAAATGCTGATGAGTAATCCGATTCGACGAGGAAGACTTTTCAAGTCATAACCTAAGACTGTTTACACGTGATCCGACGTTGAAAGACTTCGAGTCAGTGAAGCTGAATGTGCAAATAGTTTGCTTTTATAATTTTCTTCTTTGACAAATTAGCAGAATCATTTATTACCCGGTTTTTAATTTTGTTTTACATTTTCTTTTGAGTTAGGTCGGATGGGTGTTAGCCAATTTCATTTTTAAGTCTGGCACTCTCGGTGCTTTGCTATATTTCGGGAATCTGATCGACGTACACTACTTATTTCGAAAAGAGCATAGTGTTTTTATTCACAACAAAATTCCATACTTCATATTCATTGATCAATGAATATTTATAAGGTTATGTAAATTGTACTGATTCCCGTTTATTTTTGAATATTAATAAAATTACGCATACCATAATGTATAACGCACACGTGCCAGAAAACGAATGCGGAACTTACACGTGCAATATATATGTATATATAATATATAGTACACTAATTTTCAAATCATGTTCCTGTAATTTTTGTCAGTTTAAGGAAAATAGTTAATTAACCTCCACTCGAGAATTCATTAAAAACAAAAGGTATTTCATTCAATTTTATTTTCCAACGTCGTTTGCGCGCAATTGACATTGATGAAACGTCAAACGAGTTTCAAGAAACTTTGTATTATCGTGCACTTAAAATAATGGTTAAGTTATATAAATATTTTGACAGCCTATCATGATAAGTAAAGAAGTGATATAAAATTTTGTTTCTACTTGAGGCACGTACAGTAAAGCTATATGTATACAGTAACTGTGTAATATGAAGTTACACAGAGACTCATAGTTATCAATGATATCCTTTCCTATCAATTGACTTTTATCCTTTTATTTTTGCCATCAAATTTCATGTAGAGTACACTTTCTGGAACGATATAATATTCCAAGAAATTTCTATACAATACTGACACAACAATGTAGAGTAAGTAGTAATTTGCCATTTTTAGAATCATCAAAAGAATACGTCATGCATCACCGCTAATTCACTCTTAGTTAATATATCGGTGTTAAAAAAATATGATTAATAATTTTGTAAAGTTGTTATAAATTACCTGTCAAATTTTACGTCTGAAAAATCCCAACAGACTGCTATTACAAACGAAGTTTGCCACCACAAACACGTAACACACAATAATAACTGTTTTTCTTGGACACAAGTCACTGAAATATAAAGAAAAAAATATTGAAGCTTTTTCGAAAAACTGTAACTACTCGTCAAATAGTGGAATGACGTACCGGGAACACGAATTAAACTTGGAGGTTAGAGGCGGTTACTGCGATCGATTTCAAACCGGGAGCTACTCGCTGCGCCAGGAACAAATTTGGCATGCTACCAAGTGCGACATGCTCTTTTGCCTTACGGTAGTCATTCGAATGCCGGATACATGATTTTCTCCCACCAACCAAGATAACCGGATGACGATCATTCCCGGTTTATTTAAGCGTGCTCACTGTGATACTTGGTAGTTTTTATTCTCTCATTCCGCGACCTGACTCGACGTAGCTGCTCTCGAACCGACTGTCCCTCTCGGCAAGATATCGCGCTGCGAGAACATTGCGGTCACTGCTTTTCCTAGAGCCGATAAGCAGAAGTACGCGGGCGCAGTGAATTTGCCCGCGACCTTCAATATTGCCATAACGAAGTTCTGGTAATACCATGAAATGTTTTAAGAGAGACGAGGAACTTGTTGCCTGGCAGATTTCAGCCAGAGATAAGCAGGGACATGCATAACGCTACGGTTTTAGGCGATACCAAAAGTACGGCGCTAAATCGTAGCGGCGAGTCTGGAAGTAGGTTTTTAACAATGTTACAACAATAGACTTTTTCAATAGTTCTTGAGAAGTTCTGTAGTTCCCGGTCTCGTTCTAAGGATTGCTGAGGGAGAACCTCTGCTTGCCAAGCTGCACGTTCGTGTTCGCGTTTAGCTCGGCTACGACGGGATTCGCATTGTCGACGGAGGCGATGATCGATAACGGGCCTAACGTATGCAATTGATTTATCTGATAGCACCGTGAATATAAAAGAATTTATGGAGATTTAATAAGTGACATAAGTTGTATGAATTGTCACTATTAACTATACTCCAAAAGTGGAATCGAGTTTCATGCGCATATTTTTATTTCCTACTTAATTTTATTTCTTCATTCCAGTCGTTCAGCTACTGACATCTAGCGTCTTTGGATAAAACTGTGCGAGACTTGCTGTTAAGATAAAGCGCATAAAGGAATCAATCTGAATGACCGTCGGGAAGTTAACGTCAAAATGTAACAAGGTACATGTTTTTAATGACTAAAAAATTTATCTTTAAATGCTCCTTATATTTCCCTAATTATTTCGCTGCTTTTATACAGTGAGTAAAAAATATTTATTAAAACAGAAAAATGTTTTTTTTTTATTGCTACTCCAAATAACCAAGCAGATTCTCATATGATTTTCTTGATGAATAATTAAAAACAAATTTTTGTCTTTTGACGCTGACTCCCGACGGTAATTGACCGTATGATTCTTAGATATCCAGACATTATCAACATTGCTTTTATGTATTGTGTATAATTTTATTCGAGTTGTAATAGTGTTTTCTGTAAATATATTGATAATTAGAATATTTAATAATTGGTTTATCTGGGATTCATGTTTTATATTGTTATGGGAGCACATTTTGGAGCACGCTAGAAAAATTAGAGTTTGAATCAATTTTACGAAATTACGTACCTGACGTAATGCGTTACGTTATACGGATATTGTGGGAAATATTCGATTTTAATCTTACCGTTGTCTATATCTGTGCAAATTTCTGAAATAAAAGCAGTCTTTATCACAGGGAATCGGTAAAATTTTTCCCTTGAAACACTTGTACATGTACGTTACGAATTAGGTTAGTCTGTTTTTGAAAATACAAATTGCTTGTCCTGATAAGAGATTTCCTTGTAGTAGCTTCACTGGCAGAGACTACGGTTTAGGTTTGGGAAATAGCCGTAGGAAATTAAATTAAATGAGGATTTTTATCGTTCAAGATATCAGAAATGGGAGATAGAATTTATATGATTTTGAGTTTTTATTTTAACCGTAAGCATTGACCGAAGAGGCAAATAGAGTTGGACGTCTTATGGGATATCGTGTCACGCGATCCTGGGTGTCCTGGACATCTACAACTTAAATTTATCAATTGTAATGCTATACACAGATACATATCAGAATCGCGCGGCAAAGAATACACGGGCATGTCTATTATATTTATATTCAGTCAACACCATAAGTTATTTGATAAATGTCGGTAAAGTAGTTTGTACAGTTATCAGTAATTAATTGAACTATCTAACAAGTAAATTATTTTAATGCATAATGTGCGTTCATACGTCTTACAGTATAGTGAAAATTTTACTTGAATAATCATAGCAATATTTCTCAGCATTTAATTGCTATGATCAAGGCCAAAAGATCAGAGATTCAAAATTTGGATAAAAAAATTATAACAATAAAAATTTAAGCAGTACGTAACCTCTTGGTTCGTTAATTAAATTTATCAAAGGAATAAAAGCTATCGTAAGAAATATAGCAAAATTACATGTAAATTTTATATAATACTAAATTTTCAAAAATCCTCTTTTTTTACAATGGGATTAATATTGTTCGAATCAAAATAATCGAAAGTATCTTCCAATAGTCGTAATATAAAGTTTATCACAAGAAATGTGTCCACAATTGTTCCTAGATAATATAATTATCTCAATTATCAAGCGAGCCTGAATAATGACCATATCGAGACAGCTCGAATCATTAAGATGAATAAACTATTTAGACTTCTTGAGTGGTCGCATCTGGTTTCTCCAACATTTTCTCATCTTCCGTTTTGTCGAGATAGGTCAGCTGTAATACATACAAATGTTCTATTTAACCTAAAAATATTATCTTTATGTAAGATATATAAAGATATATAAAGATCTTTATATAAGATTCATATCAATCTTTAATCTAGTTCTCTTTAATTTCACATCTAAACAATAAATTTTTCGTTCAGATACACGTGATAAAAATGACCCGTCAAAATTGATATATTCAATCAAAATAATACTTATTTAATCGATTGAGTTTTCTCGGTCGGTAAGTATGCGAATTCTGTGACTCGCATAATTCAACGTCCGACCATCAATTTTTACCGGCAGTAATCTGTATATTAGACACAATAAAAATACCAGTTATTCGACAGGCTATTTTGATTATTTATTATACTAATTTCAGTGTATAACTATTCCCCGTGTCCACGATCAATAAATTTTGCCATATGTCATATATTCCTGAAAACGACTTACCAGAGAATTCTAGTATTTCAAATTAGACCTAACTGATGTACAAATAAATATTATCAGTCGTTTAATTTACTTTCAAGCTATGACAACGAAGTCAGTATTTAAAAAGTCTGTACGTTTCTCGTTTAGTAAAATGAATAAATTATCATTACCGTAACTACAGGCATCTCGAAGCTGATCAAACGGAATTCTAAGACAAACGTCAGGAGGAATGCACAATAAACCAGAGCAAGAATCCATTCGGCTACAGCACTGGCCACGTGCCAGCCCCACCCGCCGTCAGATGGCAACCATTTCTTATAATCGCTACCTGCAAAGGAACAAGGTTATAAAACGTCTCGCTTACGTTGAAGCTATACAAGTAATAGCATTTCTGACAAGTCGTTAGACTTAATCAAACACGATACGCAGACGGGAAGCGATGAATTAAAAAGGAGAGATAAAGTCTCGTAAATAAAATCCAATAAGTAAAAAAAAACAATACAGTGGTTCGTACGCCGGAAGATTTCAGATGTAAAAAAAATCCGCAATTTAAATATTTATTTGTAACCGATAATAAAATACCCATGTTGGCACCTTTAAATTCCGTCACTGAGATGTAACCAGGTATAACAGTAATGATCGTCAGAATCATTGTCAGGCCTGATAAAATGGCACGAACGTATACGATCATCCATCCGTTTACGGCAGGGGCCATTTTGTAACTAAGATACGTCTAAAAAAAAGTGAAACAAACAGTCGTGATTGAAATTAAATGAAATGACGAGCCATCGATTAAAAATACCTGAAGACAAAAATATACTGTCGCGGCTGTAAAGCACGTCATGGCTCCTATCATGTGAGCAGCAACTACACGAGCTTCCTGAAAATTCGCAAGAATATCCAAACCGAAACAAGCGAGACCACCGCACCAAGCACTCATCACAATGGCTTTTCGATCAATTAAGTCCTCCCCTCTTTCAATGTACCATTGTTCTACTTGACGATGCCTGATGTATACGCAACAGGCAACTGTAACAAAAGAATAATAACATTAAGCCTGTTAAGCTTATCACAATTAATTATATTTATAAGGAGGTCGACTTACGTAGAAGTGCGGCTATGTTGAGAAATTGTGCAAATATACAGGATTCTGGTGATAAGGTACCTGTTTCTGATATATAAGGAAATCCAGGTACTACGTGATCCCATTGTACTGATATGGTGTAACTAAAGAAATTTTAATATTTTTTTTTTATTAAAATTTTTTTATTGATCGATAATTAATTAATCGATTTCATCGGTGGTTATGTTCTTTGATGTTCTTTAATGTTCGTTGCGCTACTGAATATCGTCTTCAATTCATTGTCAAAACTTTCGTTTACATTTCGAACGGTATGTGGTAGTATCATAATTCTGCATTGACTATAATCTGTTTTGCAAATAGAGCCACTAGCCTTTGTGAAAGTGGATACTTGTTTCGAATGAACACATTATTGTTCACGAGGATATATGATCGATCTATCGCCTAACTAAGCTTTTTATAGTATTGATTGATGGGAATTGTTATTTTTATACGCATTTCATTGCGACTTGGTGCAACTACGTGACTGAATATTTACTCACGTTATCATGAATGTCACTGGAATTAAGATGAAAAGACTCAATGGTATCATATGTAAATTTTCGCACGACATTTTGGGAGTGTCATTCGGCATGCTGAAAATAAAATTTTTTGGTGAATTTTTTATTTTTTTTTCATATTGCTCCTATACGTTTATTACAATTGTTGTATAGGAGTCACGATTGTTGCTTATCGTGATTATCAGTTAAGTATTAATTATGCGTTACTCACGGTCAAATTTTATGGGAAAATGGGTTGGTCAAAGTCTTGAAAACGATGGAGATATTTTTTATGACGCTTTCAAAGATTTTAATTTTCCTAGAAATAGGATCGCTCCTTCCAGGAACTGACACTTTGCCATGGACGACGTCCAGCAGTAGTCTGATATCACTGTCCATATGTACACTCTACACAATATACCAGTCACTGATTACGTACACATTTGTGAAACAATTAATACTGCCCGAGTTAGAAATATCAGACATTGCGAGTCTTACATGAAATTCAAAATATTGAAAAAAAATTTTTTTGTAATTTTTTATTATTTATTTTTTTATATTTGTACTTCAACAATTTTCTTCTTTAAAATGCACTAACGTTGGCAATGTGAAAATAATAATAATCGCACGATTCGTACACATAAATATATTTGGGTTATAATAATAAAAAATATCAATAATATCCACCGTAAGATAAAAAATCGTGAAAGTCGATTAATCAAATAATAGTTCAAATAAATCGCACTACACGAGTAACGCGATGCCGAATAACGTAAGTTGCGTTTTTGTGATATTTAATGACCGATTTGGAATTCCAACAGATTTACAGGCCTTAGAGAGATTTTCCGTTTTATAGATTTCTCCTTCGCACACTTGAATGGCACAACGAATCAAGTCTGATACACGAGCTAATTTACAAACCAATCAAATAATTACCACGTGTTCAAGTAACTTCGTATTAACTATTTAAATACCACTTTTTCGTGTTTAATCATAGTTGTGGATTGAATAAATTTTATAGGCTGGTTTAATTAATATATTTATAATTAATTAAAAAATTTATTAATTACACTCTCTCAATCCCAATGTTGTACGTATATACACTTCTGATGTTGGCTTTGAATTATTCGCTCGAGCACATACGATGTTGGCACCTTAATCATCACTGAGTCGCTCGTTCCGTATGCCTTATGCCATAACACACGTCACGATGTGCCATTATTGTCTATACGTTAACAATTAATTGCACATTGAACTTATTCAACGATCGTCTTCTAGCTGAGTGTATTCCTTATAATAATATATTGACTGTTACTGTGATAATAACCTCCTTTACATGCGAGTCAAGATAAATCCCACCAATATTCAACTTCTTTGCTGCTGTTATCATGGAAATGACTGATAACCTCAGCAACTTTTTTTTTCGTTCTTCCTCCTTGACTCGCATTGCGATGTCAAAGGGAATTTCTTAGTTGCATAATGAATCGGTTCAACGGCATATTCCGATCGATCGAAAGGTCAATTAAGATTTTAATCATACATACGGAGAATCTTGATTACACGGAACATCTTTCATTTGTTTTATCATTGGCAGATTTAACAAAAAACTTTGTGCAGAAATACTTTCTTGCCAAAATTATTACTGACAATAAATGTAAACAGATAATGCTTTAAGGATAATACACAGCTTACGTGTTATACTCGAAATAATAATAATAATAGCAAAATGAAAAATTGGCGATGTTTTGAAAATATTCGCAAAGCATTTAATATCATTATTTATTTTTTTTTGTCTATTTTTTTTTTCAGGGCGAATGCAATTGGTAAACCTGGCAATGGTATTGGATCGTTATTAAAAATTATCGTATTTTTACTAAATTAAATTTTTTTGCCATGACTCACGAGTGTTTTTAAATTATGCGAATACAACTTTTTGATTAATTTCAAAAAAATCATCGTTACAGGAAAAAAGGACAGGAAAATAATTGGGAGACATTTAAAACCATATTTTTTTATATCAACAACAATACGATATTACAATATATAGGGCGGGTCTTTTGGCTATCATTTAGTTTTTATTAAATTTTTGTCATAGAGTGACTTTTTCAGCGCGTTATGTTACATACAATTTTTGTGTTCTTCAGTATTGTATTCATACATGATGCTGTTCAAAATTGAACTTGTAATGGCAGCAGCGGTAATCATCGGCTTTCAAGTCAAAATTCTATTTCTTATATCTGCAAAATTTACTCGGCTACAGGTCGTTTCATTAATCTTTATTTTCCGTTAATATCACCCGGTACATTTGTACTGATTTAAAAGAATTTTCAATTTTTCTAATGCAGGTGAAAAACATTGTATCACGTTGACAGTAAGTCGAAGAAAAATTTTCGTAATGGCAAAAAAAGTACAGATCAAAAATAATTTACAATGACAAAGCTAATTATAATTTCTGCCAACGACATTCAGACAGTTGCAAATAAAAGGAGCAGACGTCGTATCGTGACACGTGTCATGTTCTGGTAAAGTAAGCGCGCGAATTTAAAAATTGCACAATGACTAAAAAAAAGCATATGATGCTTCTGTCGTAATATTAATAATTTTTGTAAATACGCACGATAACAAAATAATGTTTTTTTTTTAATGAAGGTAGAAAATGGAAGGATAAAAATCATTAAGTTACACAATGGTACTTGTAACGGTCACAGGAGAATAGCTGTAGCCGATCTTTACAATATCAGACTCTAGATTAAATACAATCTATGCAATTATATACACTCTCTAAAATACTATAATAAATAAATAGATACGTGTTATTATCGGTATTCATTATTATTACGTTGAATGGACTTTATAAAGTAAAGGGGATATTTTATTACGAGGAATAACCATAGAGTGTATCTCTTTAAGCCAATATATTCCCAATCACTTTATCCAGCCCGTGAATTTACATTTATTTAATTTCTCTCTCTTTATTCGATGCTAACTTATATTTTTCCTATTCTCGTATTATTTGTCTTATCGTAAATGCCACATCGGTCAATTGGCGTGGGCCACTATTTGGTTTTTTTTTTGTTCCACGGCCGTAACAGTAGTTTCCTCGTATTGCGCAAAATACAAAAACGGATGAAAAGTATTTAGATACTAAGTGACCTTTGTCTAGTCTGTACCAATCGTGGACACTCTGTAAGACACCATATTTATATCTCTCTTGCACACATTGTACGTCGGTAAGGATGTCAACGACTGGGTCAACCATTACCTTACTAATTTATTGAATCTATTGAGTCAAGATAACGAAAAGGCTTTACAGTAGACGATTGCGATAACTGCGAATACTATTAAATCAATTTAGAAAATTATCCAAAACGTAGATATATTTATATAATGATGTGCTACAGCTTTAAAAAGAAAAAATGAAAATATAATAATGCTATTGCAATATTTGAAGTTTTGTATAAACATAAAAAAAGGTAAAAAAATCGTAGAAATTTCAAAATAATCAAAGAAAGCCGTCAGAGTGACGAGCTTGTTTGTTTGAAGATTTAAGAAATAAAAAAAATCCTGAATCACGCGACTCGTAACCTTTTTTTTCTTGAACTATGACCCGTGCCATAAAGAGAACCTGTCTAGGACAGGATGAAAAGATGGGAGGATACGAGAGAAAAAAAAAGAGATAAAACCTAGAGAATAGACGGATAAAAAGAGAAGAAGGAATTAGAGAATAAAAGATACTAGGCACGTGAGTAATCCAGTGATTTTGTTCGCCTAAGACTTTTATAAAGCTGTCGTGCACTGGTTAACCTTTGACCCCGTAAGCCAAATCTGGCAGCACCCATTAGCGTCCGTTGGCGCCCACGCTTCTTTTTTTTTTTTCTCATTTTCATCTTTCCCATAGAAAAAAAAAGTGACGCGTGCAACTCGAAAAACTTGGAAAACTTTCATGATAAAAACAAATGATAATAATCGTATTCGTATCTACGTCTATCTTAAGCTAATCAGACTAGTCCGAAATTCCTTATTGTAACACGCTGTCGTAAACTGCGCTTGTCCTAATCACCGCAACATATTATTTTTCTAATCCGATCACAAGAAATTCATTTTTTTTGCCAGTCTCTTGAAACGCGACGAAGCTCCCTACGTTCGTTCGTCGAATAGATCGTGACTTTCCGTCGATCCGCGACACGTTCCGATCGAAAGATCGTTTCTAAATTTATATCGCAATTAACACTAATCACACGCTAAACAATCCTTAACATGGTAGCCGTAACGCTCCTGCTCGATTAATGAAGGGGTTTGCGCAACTAGTGGCCAAGACGCATAGCGAATGCTGAGGATAATTCGTTATAAAAAAATTGTCCTCGTTCGGTAATTCGCGAGGGTCATAAAAAGCACAAAGATATCCTAATCTGCATTTAACGAACTCGCGACGTCATTTGCATTGAAAACTTCCCAATGGAAATTAACTCGACTGCTGTTGGTACTTCTAGTTGATATCTGTTGGACTAGACGAATCCTAATTACCGAGTGTTTATTAATCTTTGAAATTCTTCTATAAAACATGTATCTCTGGACGGAGTATATTTGTGGCTTATTTCCGTAAATTAAAGGTAAGCTTTATTGTCTCGTGAGGCTTGAAAAATAGTAAGGTAGACTTGGATCAATAGGGTCACCGAGTAAGGTAGATTGAGAAGGATGTACCAATATCGTCTTGCGAATAACGAATCGACAATTCTAACCGAATTGACGATCTGACCTCAGCGTGAAACTTTCTCAGTCGATAGCTACGAATTGTTTCCTGGTTGACCGACGCTGACCCCTTCATTTTCATGTATATACCCATTGACGTATTCGTTGATCGCACAGAGCTTATCGTCGATTTGATCTAATCGATGATAGAATAAAAATAGATTGACAATAAATTATCATAAATAAATTAGTGTATCTACACGCTCGCCAGGTATTACGTGCTAGCTTCGTCAATGACCGTAATGACTCGATTATTCGGAGGAGCAGTCATCAGCCGCCACTTTGGCTTTGACTCTTCCTCCTCGCTCGCTGCGGGAGCAGGACCTCCCTGACTTCCGGAAGCAGGACCCTTCGATCTTGCCAGTGACCATCGACGACCTTTTCGATCAAGAATAATGGGCATTTCGGCTATGAGGTTGTTTTCGAATTCCGAAAGCATCAGGTAATTCTCCACTTTGTTACAGGACGTTATGCAGTCGCCTATGTAATCAAGGTCATCGAGAAGATTATCCGGTAGGTCCATGTCCGCTATGCCTTCTTCAGAGATGCAGGTCAACTCGGGTTTGTCGACACCCAGGGCATCCATGATTTCCCCTGGACCAAAGATTTAATTAAATAATCAAAATTCGTTTAATAATATAATGACAGTATTAATGGTCTGTTAAAGGTTACCTGGGGCAGGTGCAAGCTCAGCCCCTAAGACCAACGCTGCGGCAGCCGCTCCAGCGGCTACTCCTTCGTTCTCAGGCTCCTGACTAAATGATAATCGTCGTCTTTGCGGACAACTATCGGATACGCACAGATGCCTAGTCCCATTGGCTCTGGTATGCTTATGCCTGGATAAATTCCTCCTGTGAAGGTCTATGAAAAAGAGAGTGAAACTCCCGACTAGAACGCAGGTAGAACTGAAGTAGTAACCGGCCTTGCCGCCACATCCGACGTTCATATACCCTGAAAACGTCAATCATTGGATCTATCAATAGGATTCGGAAAACCATCAATCTGAATTATGATTATCAGGCAGTTATTAAGCTGTCATGCAAATCTAGACGTCAGGACGATGATTCGTGCAACTGTAGGTAGGAGTGGAAATCAAGCGTGGTTACCATTTCCGAATACGATTAATATACGAATCGATACGATGTGTTTGATATTAAATCTATTGATTAAATTATTATATCATTATGATAATCAGACTATTTTTGTATACCGTTTATAGCCATGAGTACCGTACTATAAATTGTGAATGTAGTATTCGATTTGTTTTACCATAACGTGATAATATTTTTTTTATTTTTTACCTGAGATTGGTACGCCGATGGCGATCGGTATTGCTTGAGAACACTGAACGAAGCCCCACGTCCTTGCGAAGTTTCTTGCTCTTACCCTCTCGTACGTGTACATCTTCAAGCTATAATGGTAGCCACCGCAGAAGATGCCTGAGAGATTAATCGTAAGCGTGTCACGGTTGGCGAGAGAATTTAACATATTTAGCCAGATTCAATTTACCATAGATCCACGTGAACATGACGTAACCATGATAATTCCCATGGACAGCCGTTAGAGCCAGAATGCACAGACCGCACATGAAGACTGCAGCTTGGGTTAAATATTGACGAGCTATTCGGCACTCGACACTGTGATGAACGACTAAGAGACCGAAAGCTACGCAGCCCAGAGTCCAAGCAAGACCAAGATAAGCTTGAAGAAGAACAACAGTATCGCCAAGACCTTCTTCTTCGGCTTGATGAGCCTATGGGAGATTATAGAATTTGAATTAAGGTATAGGACAAGAATATTATTAATTTAATTTAAAAGAAATTACCAAATAAAATATTGGGGTGTTAATTCCAAACGCTGATATTCCGGTGGATACCAATAATATTCTGACAGTTTTGCTCTTGAGTGTACTAAAGTCAAAGAACGGAGGCCGATCGTCCAATTTGTTCTTGTCTTTGATTTTGCGCTTTTGATTTTTCAAATGCAAAATCGCTCTTCTCTGAGGATGGTACAGCGAAGCACTGCGGTAAAACGTTCCGAGGATAAAAGTAAGAAATACGACACCGGTGACAGCCTGCAGTCCAAGACGCCAACCGATTTTGCTGGAAAAGAAAAAAATTCTTTCACGTGGCTAGGGTACATACAAGTGCCTTGTTTTTCTATCTTTGGTATATAATTTAGCAATTTTTACATTATCCTAAACAAACTCATGGTCTTTGGTGATTCTGCTTAGATAGGACGTTTGAATTCTTGCCAACTCCGTTTCAGGATAACTTTCCGCCGGAACGGACATCGCAGTCACGCTAAACGGCATATATACGTCACGCTGAGTTCTTTGTGTCCCACCACGTTACTTAGCTCAGAGGGACGACTCGATGCCATTTTCTGACACTAACGATGGTGATTAACTTGATTTCTTGCTGGTTGTCTGCTTCTTTTTTTTCTCAAAAGTCTTCCTATTGCGAAAGTTGAAGCCAGCCTAACATTTTTTTACCGGATTTCCTGCCCGAACTTATCGGTCGAGAAAATCCTTTTTTTTTTCTCAAAATTTTTCATTCAGCTTTGATTACGTAACTTTCGATATTTATATAACCACATATTTTTCGTTGATAAAGAAACCAAAAGTGTTTTTCTTATCTTTTATGGTGTTTATGCAATTAACACGTGTTTACCTAATGGCTCCCTTGATGAACGCGGACATCACGGCGATACCAAGGCCACTTCCGGAAACGATGAAAATTTCAACGAATTCCCTTCTCCTCTTGAAATACTGCGCTACCATCAGAGTACTGCAATCTCTCGTCATGCCAACTCCTATTCCTAAAAACAGATGAGAAAAAATTTGAGAATTTCTCCCTTTGGAGAAAAATTTGAAAATCTAGAATCCTAGGAATTCTATTAATTCGTGAATCTTATGTTCCCTGTGAATTTTTATTTGATACTGTAAAATTTTTTCCCTTTTTTCTTATCCTTGCTCGATATAAATAATACGTAGTGGCAGTAAGATGATACTTATACGTATAGTAGAATGGTGAGAGGATGACTGGTCATCCTTGAAGGACGATTGATGAGTGGGTGTATTTCCATAAGAATGAATCTAGTTCAAAGATCAACCCTCGAGGTAAACCACCAAAGTGATAGGAGTATCTCAAGAAATAGAATGGTCGAGTATCGAAAACGAAATTTGATGGTGATCCTTTTTTTCTTCTTATTTAAAAATTTATTTTACATTGCAGAAAGTATACGATAGTTAAAAATGTTTGATTTCACATATTTTTCAGAGAAACAGAAATGAAGATCGATATCGATACTGGTGATTTTACTTCAGAAATGTGCCATTGTGCATTGATTCGTTATAAAAATGAAGGTGACTATTATTCGTGTGAATTTACTAAAGGGTTGGCTGGGGGAAAATTCTAGGGGTTGGGATACAGATGATCGAAGTGGAATATCCACACAAAGGACGCCATTGGAGTATAGTGAGAGACAGTAAAGATGAGAGAAAAAGTGACGTGCCATCGATCGGAGTGTCGCGAATTTATGTTATTTCATGGAAAAACCATGAAGCTAAGAATGGATCTGTAAAGAACTTCTTCCTTGTTTGATGGATTTATTAGGCCTACTGTATAGAACTCCCCGAAAGGAGAATGGGCCATAGCGCGTATCTGTTAGCTAATTGGCTAAAGTGCTCTACCTCAAGAAACAAATGGGAGATTAACCCGGAAAAAAGGGGAATCGAAATGGTCCATCGCGTAATGGACCGTTTATGTTGTATAAAGGAGAAAAATGAAAAAAAAAGTATTTACTGTTATTCCGGGAATCAATTATACAAGAAATTAATAATTGTCTCTAAGAGTAGTTTAACAAGGGGGGTTCTGGTCACAGATTCCTGCACCCACAGTTGCCGACATTTCGAGAGTCTTCGAGGGTTCGCATCCATGCTAAATCAGAGTCGTGGACCTTCCCGACTTTAAGGAGTGCCGATTTCACCAATCGAAGGCTGATTTTCGGAACTTTATGTCGGATTCTAAAAATTGTACCCCCGATTCCAATAAATGGAATTCCGATTTCGAATTTCCGGTGCAATTTCACCGATTCGGTAAATACCGGTGCAGAAATCTATATTTAGAACCCCCCTTGTTATACTACTTGTAAGATATCTGCAAATTGTATGAAATTTTTAATAAGGCTAATTATGACATAATTGTTCACTTACCGACCACGGTGCCGTAGCTGAAGAAAAGTTGATGAAATTGTGAAGCGAACGAAGTGAAGAGGCAGCCTAAAGCCGTGACGAGGCCACCCAGTACTGCGGTCACTCTTGTACTTTTTCTTCGACAGAAAGCTATTGTCACTGGCGATACGAGAAGCGCAACCCCCGTGGACATTGCCCCGAGCCATCCTGTAAAAGAAGAGAAAAGTCAGCACCATCCGATTCCTGATTTACAGGCGACTTGATTGACGCGACGTGAACATCATTGCTTTGACGGTTATACCAGTAAAATGTGAAATCGCAATGTTTGCAGTTTCGCAAAAACAGTTTGGCATTAATGGTCGCGTGTATAAATTTTAGAGGCAGCCATTCTCGTTGGTACAAGGACATTTAACGTGACTGCATCATAAAAGCTACGATGCATAGATAACTTTTGAATGGGTGCAATGATCAAATTTCAGAATAAACAAATTTCACGTACTTTAAGGGAAATTTCGTTAATTACACAATTACTTTGAGCCCAATTAATATTGTGTATATCTAAATTTATATTACTATAAACAAACAATTTTATACGGAATAAACAAAGTCATTGGATTATTAGTTTAGTCAATCATTTTTATAGCGATAAATTTTATTAAATTTCGGTAAAATCAGATAGATTAGATAACAAGCAGTATATTTATATATCGTTTAGATACTCGTTACCAACTATCTATGATTTATTCATGAAAAACGGTAGAAGAGTCTTCCGAAAGGTCTATTAACTATATATAATAATCTGCTTTGGTATATTCGTTGGAGTTTTTACGAGAGACGCCATCGGACTAGTCAGCTCTTTCTTCTCGCGGGACAGAATCTTCGCGAGGATCAACCACGCATTTTCCGCGTTATTCCAGTTTTATTTCTGCCCACGAGCCATTAAATCGGGAGGCGCTTTCAAATAAATTAACGCCTCCCGCACTCGTCGTGTACCTTTCGAAAGTTCGTTTTTCTCTCTCTTTTTTTCTCGGCATTCAAGGTGCTAGATCATGTACGTCAATGGTAAGCTGGGACGTGGCTAAGATATTTCTTTTTCTTCACAAAAAATCCCGACGACCAATTGCCACGTGTTTCAGCTGGCGCGCGTTCCTCATTCCTAGTGGCACTTATACTTACTACGCCTTGGATCGTTCCTCTATTTAAAAACACGACGTCTCTAGTCCGTCGAAGTTAGGCTTTCTCGAAGAAGGAGCACTTAACGGCGTTACAGCGTTCCAAGATCAACAACGGTATCATCCATTCAGATACGTTGTTTCCTTCGTTTCTGTATGCTTGTCAGGAGTAGGAAAATCAATAGGAGTTAATTATGAGAATATAAAGAAAAAATGAAAATCCAACGAAAATACACAGGGAAAATACAATATGTATCAAGCTTAAGAATGTTCCTTCGAGAATTACGAACGAAGGATTTCATTCACCTTTCGGGAGCTGGGAACGGAGTCTGCAGTGGAAATCGGTCCGAAGTGACTATCAAGTAAAAAAAAGCGTCGATCAATCAGAAGGTCACGGTCCTAGATTGGCAGGTATAGGCAGACTTCTTGGATACTTAGGACGGAAGTTGAAGGGCCGTTCTTGGTGATAAAATCGACAGTCGCCCGTTGAGTATACCCAGAGGAATTGGAACTCGTGATGGGAACGGGCATTTACTATAGTTTCGTGAAGGATATAAGAAGCTAAATAGCCAGGCTGTTTGGGTCCATCCAGAGGAACAAATGGGTGATGAATTAGATACGAAATTACTCCGAGGAAGATTGACCTTTGATCGTGGGCAAAGATCTTCGCCTGAGCAATTACTTAAGAGTGAAGTATCGTGTCGTTATTTTTTTTTCGCAAATTTTCGCCAATCTCGAAATCTTTGAATTATACGAATTTATCAAGGAATTCTTTAACTCTTGAATGCAGTAGCGAATTTTCACATTTTTATATACTTATTAAATGCGTAATCCACATCGTCCATATGATTTAAGATATTCCTCACTTTTATTTTTTTTTTCGTTAACAGCGAACACTATAAATTACAGGGGGAGTCGTCGCTACCAAAGATTTAAGACATTTCAGATTCCAACCCACCCTGAAGTCATTTCGCTGTCCCAGTTGGGTTAATTAAAAAAGATTATGCGGTTCGGTATCAGTGTACTATTTCTTCGGGCGTGAAAAATGGCTGTTTGGATTTTAACAATTTATTCAAATAATATATTCTACTGAACCATGCTTTACAATAGCCGTAAAGTATTGATGGTTATTTAAAAAAAAAAAGATCTTTCATTCAACTGTTTAAATTTTTTTTTTCCATCCAAACTGTCCTCGCCTATTCCGTTGTATAGCAGGCGAAATAGCAAATAAATGGATATGCGGTCACTCGCAGGCAATGATACATCTTTCTATTCTGACAAATAAATGGAGCCGCCAACAAGCTTTCCGGTCCAGTTTTGTTTTATATGCGTCAACATGAAATTAACGAATAGAAAACAAGCCGGGTTTATAACTAATAAATAATAAAAATCAGCCAATTCTGCAAATTTTCTGTATTTAAATTTTTGCAAATGTCATACACGACTATGGACGTGCCACGTGGATTTTATGGACGTTCATTATTTTTTCCATGATTCTGTGTTCAGCCACTGTCGTCCTTTCTCAGAAATGTTTTGCCCATTTACATAGAGATTTTGATTAAGCAACTAGAAACCGAGTGGACGGAATAATCGATAGTTAAATTCGCATAACAAACTTTCAATATCTACTTTACTTGGATTTCTAGTGCAAAATGGAATTTCATCAAGTTATCGGCCTGTCAGAATTTTCTTTCCATTAAAGTCTTCGTGCTGCAGTCAATATTAAAGCGGACGTTCGATATTGAATTAGTTTTTCATTGAAATCACGTCACTTCCGATTATATACAGACGACAATTTATCTTCTCGTTGGCTACGTCGTACGGCGACGATAAGCTTCCGGTAATGGCGGGAAATTCAAAAGATCGACAGGACTCTCTTATTTTTCTCTTAGCAACTCTTGGACAGGTCTGTTACCGGCTCGTTAGTTGCATAAGATATGTCTATATATATATATATTATTTTTTTCTCAGCGAAGCCACTTGGCGACTTTATCGCGAATTACATTTCCCGTGAGTGCAACGATTTTCTTTTTATTTTCCTCGCTCTTTACCGCGCTCCCTTGTCTCTTTATGCCTTCCATTTTATTGCCTCCTCCCTTGGATCCATCCTTGGTTTTATTTCCCGTCATACCACTCTTTTTTTTCGCACGCCCTATACATGCTGATCGTAAAATTTTTGCGGATTTTTTGAAATTCCCCAAATTTCTTCAAATTATATAATTTATTGATTTTTATCACTATATTGCGAATTAGCACGTTTCACAGGTTGTATATGTAGGTAATTTACGATCTAGATATCGCGGTAAGGTTGCATGTGCTAATTTACTGAAATAAAAAATACCTTTTTATAGCACACCGTAAATGCGTAGGGCAGGCATATCTCTGACTCATGCTCGGATTCGTTAGCGTGCCTTTCCGTTTCACGAGAAGCTATTCGCTGTGAGATTAGCTGAGAAACATGGTAGAACCGCGACTCCGCACTGGCTCCGATAAGGCGTGTTTTATTCTATTCGGGAAAAGGACTAGGAGGTGTTATCGTCACGAATGAAAAGAATTTATAGACTCTATTTCTACCGTTCTTAATTGTTATCATTAACGTAGGTCAAGATTTTTTTCATAATAATTATCACTATTGTGACTTGTTTAATATAACAATTAGTATTCCAGAAGCTATAAGCGATATCAGAATAGAAACGGCCATTCGTTCCTTATCGCATCTGAGACAACGCGAAGATCCTCCCGCAAACAGAATGCGTTAATGGGACCGTTATTTGTCCACCGTTTTTTCGTGAGAAGGGAACTAAATTTTTCTCACAATGACGTAAATAACTGTCAAAATAAAAATTCAGTTTTACCTACTACTCTATTTTATCGTTTTATATGCTGATAATAAATAATCTGATTGGCGACTATTTTACACGTAAGAATTGAAGCAATCAAACAAATGTCTTTATTATGTAATTTCAATGCATACGAACTTTTGCACGTGAATTTAAGAAAAATTCAATTCCCCCAGATTTTTTATGAAATAATAAAATAAAAAAATTAAATGGCAATAATCCGCGGATTAACCTCAAACCCCAAAAAAAGCACTCACTTCCGCATATCTTTAAAGAAATTCTATGTATATAAACTGCAGATAACACGCAGCTCCATTCAAGCGAACTTCGGGATCATCTCTTAGGAACTAAGAGGCGACGCGTTCAGAAACTTCCCCCTTTAGAAATTCGTCTGCGTATGAAATATCGCTCGCGGAATGGCAAGAGTCGCTGATATCCATGACGCTGTGAATGAGAATGAAACGAGCATTTCGTCGAGATGCGATAACGTTGTTACGTAGGAGAGGAATATAAAATTATTTTCAAGCCGTGCTATACCTATTGTTTCAAAAACAAATTTTTTCCGATTTTTTTATAACATATACGTATACACATATACACACCCATATATCCTGCCCTCTTTCTCTAGTCGTAGATCGAGTCGGTATATACATATATATATATATACAGTCCATCATCAGTCGAATGGCGTATTATAAGATACAAGCTTAGATTGGCTTTGCAATAAATATTTTTACCTTCCTTTCACCGTTTCCATTGGCTACCGTAAGGAACGCCCATTTCCTTCGAGAAGTCGAAGATTGCGGGACTTGGCAAGTGACACGTATCTATACTTTAATGTACACGTTGTACACGAATAGGCACTTGGTAATAGTTGTAAGCGTAGGAAGGTGGGACGAGGTCTTGTTAAGGGATGAAATTTAATAGATGGATTGCAGTTGTAAAATTCAAAAAAAAAATAAAAAATATATTATTGATCTAATTTAATTTCAAATATCTCATTTAAATATTAATTAATAATGGCCTCGATCATGAATAAAATTTTTGGAGCAGACAAATTACATGAAATTTATTTCATAATGTATATCTATATATACGTGTATCTGTTTTATAGCTAAAAAGTACGTGCGGCCATCATGAAAAATTTAAGAGTACGTTATTATGGTTTATAGCCTCTATCTAAGTTTCCGGATAA